TGCACGGTGCAAACAGGCTTTCCCTGAGCTCACCTGCAGCTTTCTTAATTTCTTGATGGTCCTGATGATAATTATGTAGGGTTACAACAGGATCTTCAACCCTTGCTCAGACCCAGCTCTATCACTAGGATTCAGATTCTGCCAAGATGCAAAACGATCTTTTATAAAATGATGAAAGGGATGAAGTCCCCAAATGGACCCGGCATTATTATTAGAAATTTTTATTTATTGAAAGAAGACAAAGTCCTCTTCAGGATCTCCACAAGCTGACATGGAGCTTTCTCAACAAGGCAGTGGAAAATAGAGAGGATGAGGCTCTGCATCCCACCCTACCTGGGAGCATCCTGCACTGAAGTACAACCGGGATCCTCCATCCACCAGGAGAGGCAAAGTCACTGGACAGGCAGCCAGGGTGGAGAAAGGGCACCTCAGAGGTCTGTCCATGCTCCCCAGGGCTGTCTCTATGTTCCACATGTGGATTTGGTTGGGTTGGATGGAGGCTTCCCTGCTGGGAACACTACCCCCAAAAACAACAGCCCTGTTCAGGAACAAACCAGGTCTCCATTGTCCTCTCCCTGTGAGGGCTCTGGGATCCCAGATGCTCCAGCCTGGCAGGGGGTTGCTGGATCCCAGCACAAATAGTGTGGGTAGTGCCAGTGCCCTCCACACCAACACCATCCAAAGGGTGGGTGTCCCCAAGGTGGGTGTCACAGCCTCCTCCTTTGGAAAGGACACCAAGCTTTGCCAGGAAGTGTGGAGCTGGATGCCCAGGAGAGGTGCCCAGAGGGCTGATTTTGAGTGAGTAGGAACAGCTCCTCTTTGAAGCAAGACCAGATTTCACTGTTTTACTGTGCCACAGGTCCTACAATAATTGTTCTTCCTGATTTTTTGTATTTCCCTATTCTCTTACACTGAGATATGAGGTTAAAGTGCTGGTGCATCACTCTGTGTTGCTCTTCCTGATCTTTTACTCCTGTTTTCTATTTCTGGACCTTGGACACATCTTTCTGTGTTTTTTGAGCTCTTCAAGTGCCCACCACTCAACACTGCCTTCTGCATATTCTAACATTTATGCTCCTATATAGTAAATCTTACAAACCCCAGCCCAAAAACACTCCCTCTCTTGAAGTGTTGTTGCATATTCACGTACATGAAAGCAAGACTTAGTTTCTTCTGCTCTTTACTCACTCTCTAAATAAGACCTCACAGCCCTTCCTTAGGTGCAGCCTCCCAGGGCCCATCAGAAGAGTCTGATGCTCCAGCACGTACAAAATTACGAGCCAAGGAGCTGTTCTGGGGACTCCCTGCCTGTTCATCCCAGTGCAAAGAAATGGGGGAAACTGTGGCTGCACTCAGGACACGTCCCTTGCAAGGGGCACGCTCATTTGCATGGCAATGAGGATGGTAATGGGCCCCTTGTCTTCAGATGTACACGGGGTTCTAGCGGGTGAAAACCGGCCAGAGTTGAAATTCAGACGATTCACGGCTTCTCTTTCTTTTCAATTTGTGTTTTGTATCTGGATGCAAAAGACAAAGCACGTAGTACAGAGACTGAATTGTGCAATGAACCGCTAAACTCTGGATATAAGTTATTATTTTAACAAACCAACAGGCTGTTTAAGCAAGCACCAATCTCTTAAGTAGCCTGGCTCAAGCAGTAATTACTGGTTGAATTTTAAAAGAGACCCTTCTTTTATTTGCTTTGTTACCATAGTTTTTTGTTTTCTTTTCCTCTCTCTTGAAGCTAAAAAAAGTGCTGCATAAAGCTGCAGCTCCTCTGAGAACCCAGTGTGCTGCTAACAGGGTTCACAACAACACTGTGAAAGAGTCCATGGAAATTAACCCCTTTCTCCAGTGGGGAAACTGAGGCATGAAACCTCTCCATGACAAAGGAATGAGCAGGATTACATCTTTAGTGAAGTCCTTCACCTGCCTTGCTCCCAAACACACGGAGCTATGTCAGGATCAAGCTGGGACAGTGTGATGTTGAAGGGCTGAGAGCCAGGGATTGCCTTGCAGAGAGCTCAGGGCTCTGGGTAGTGGCTGGTCCCCAGGTGGAATCAAAACACCATAGAATTATAGAACTGTTTGGGTTGGAAGGGACTTAAAGATCACCCAGTTCCACCCCCCTTGCCATGGGCAGGGACACCTTCCACTAGCCCCCAGCTTACTCCAAGCCCCGTCCAACCTGGCCTTGGACACTTCCAGGGATGGCACAGCCACAGTTTCTCTGGGCAACCTGTGCCAGGGCCTCCCCACCCTCACAGGGAAGAATTTCTCCCCAGTGTCCCATCTAACCCTGCCCTCTGGCAGTATGAAGCCATTCCCCCTTGTCCAGGTCTTTATCCAAAGTCCCTCTCCAGCTCTCCCGAGGCCCCTTTAGGCACTGAAAGGAGCTCTAAGGTCTCCCTGGAGCCTTCTCTTCTCCAGGCTGAGCAACCCCACCTCTGTCAGCCTGTCTTTGCAGGGAATGGAGAGAGTGTGGGTCTGGGCAGGAAAACAAACCCATTCACTGTTGCCAGGACCTGAGACTGAGGAGAGGGATTGATGCTGTGCTTGGAAAGCCATTGCTGATCCACATTGCCCGAAGCATCAATGGTTCCTGTGGGTCCAGGGTGGTGGGATGGGGGCAGGGTGAGAAAGGGGGATGGCTCAAAGCCATGGTCAGATGGAAAATGGAGGAGATACTTCATGCAGTGCAAAAGGGGGTTGGTCCCAGCGCCCCTGGGGGGTTTAGAAGCCCCTGGCTGTCACTCAGGAGGCAGTTTCTGCTGGGATCAGAATCAGATGTGGTGATTCAAGCAGCATAGAGCCAACCCATAAATCTCACCACTGTCCCCAAAAGAACAGACTCTTTTAATCCAAAATAACCAAGGTGGGGTCATTGCCTCCACAAAAGCTCACCCTGGTGTAAGGGAGATGGCAGGAAACATGGAGAGAGACTATTTGCTAGAGCATGTAGTGACAGGACAAGGGGGTTCAAACTGCCAGAGGGCAGGGTTAGATGGGATATTGGGAAGAAATTCTTCCCTGTGAGGGTGGTGAGGCCCTGGCACAGGTTGCCCAGAGAAGCTGTGGCTGCCCCTGTATCCCTGGAAGTGTCCAAGGCCAGGTTGGACGGGGCTTGGAGCAACCTGGTGTAGTGGAAGGTGTCCGTGCCCAAGACAGGGGATTGGAATGAGATGATCTTTAAGGTCCCTTCCAACCCAAACCATTCTGTGGTTCTGTGATTATTGCTCTGTTCAAACCCACTGACTACACCACCAGCAGCTGCTCATTAAGCTGCAAATGCCATTGATTTCCATGAAGTCCCTGGGTATTCCCAGCACAGAGATGTCATTCCTGCTTCCTGTCCTTATTCAATGCCTCCTTCAGCACATATTGACAGCCAGCATGGACTCCAACCTGGCTTAAACATTCAGCAGATGTTTAAGCTGCGTGGCCACATCTGTGCTTTCCCTGCCCAACCATCATAAAATGCTGGGATCTGTCTGTCTCCTCTCATGTCCCCATGATGGAATAGCCCACATACCTAATGCTGAGTCTGCCTGTAATTTCTCCACTTTTTAGGGATGGGTGTAAGGAAGTTTTAGTGGAACCAGCATTCTGAGTTTCCTGGATGATGGTTCTCCTCCAGCAAACAGCCTGGAGAGCTTTAATGTAGCGCCAGTCACGAATTTCTGGCTCCTGGCACCTGTTTTACTGTTTTGACACCAGGCTTTTTAGCTCAGGGAAAATAATAATGATATCCAGAGTTAATGTTATTTACTAAAATACAAATTAACGCTCAGTCACATGGCATGATTTGTCATCCAGAGCTAAAATTAAAAGAAATTAAGGCTGACTCAGAAAGTTATTTCAGCTCTGAGGGGGGAATGCTGAGTGTTGAGGCCATGTGGGAGCAACAGTGACATCTTCTGGCTCCATAAAAATTTCTCCAGCTTTTTAACCAAGAAAACCACTGGGAAACTCCACAAAAACTTAATAGGGGTTGGGTGGACAGGAGAGCTTTCAAGTGGGAGGGACAGGCTTTGTGTCAGTGGGTATTACCTGAGCCACCTTAGCATGACTGAAAATTTGAAGAGAGGGTGTGTGACACTGATGATCCAAAATGCATGGGTGGAGGAGTTGAATGGGTGTTGCTCTTCCCTCAGTGGAGGGGACAGGACTGTATCCACACTTTTGGGCTGCAGTGGAAGTGCAATATGTAGGAAGAGGCAGGCACCAAGAACTGATCCATGCAAACCAAACAGTTTTTCCTGTCTGACGTGGAATAGGACAGGGCCTGGCTGCCTTGTGCTAACAAACCACAACACTGAAGCTGTTCCCCAAAATGACAGCCCAGCCTCCCTGCAGGCTGTGTGTGTTTGCACAGTGGCTCACAGCTGATTTGGGGGTGCTGGTTCCACTGCTGGGAGAACTTCTGCAGTGGGGGCCAGGAGAGTCTTGCTAAAAATACAGTGTTATCCATCACAGTCTCGGGCACAGGGTGTGACTCTTGGGGATGGTCCTGTGCAGGGCTAAGAGTTGGACTCAATGATCCTTGTGGGTCCCTTCCAGCTCAACATATTCTGGGATTCTGGGATCATTATCACTGCAGGGTCAATGCCTTCCAATCCTGCAGAGGCCAGATCTTCCCTCTGGTGGTAACAGCATTGCTAGTCAAGGACTTAAAAGCAGAATCATAGAATCACAGTATGGGTTGGGTTGGAAGAGACCTTAAAGGTCATCTACTTTCAACTCCCTGCCATGGGCAGGGACACCTTCCACTAGCCCAGGTTGCTCCAATCCCTGGCCAACCTGTCCTTGAACACTTCCAGGGATGGGGCAGCCACAGCTTCTCTGAGAAACATGTTCCAGTGTCTCTCCACCCATCACACCTTCTGTCTTTTCTACACATCTCTACCTCTCCCAGGTTGGACTGACCACCGCCCTCGCTCCCCCGTGCTCCCATCCCCCTCCCCTCCCTCTAAACCACGTTTCTTTTAATCTCTCCCAAGGTTCTTTCTTCCCGTCTCTGAAGCCCTCCGAAATTGTCTTCAAGATCATCTTCTGGCTGGGGTACTTCAACAGCTGCGTGAACCCCATCATCTACCCCTGCTCCAGCAAGGAGTTCAAGCGCGCGTTCATCCGGCTGCTCAAGTGCCAGTGCCACCGCAGGAGACGGCCCATCTGGAGAGTCTACGACCACCACTGGAGAGGGGCCTCTGCCAACAGCTCGGTGCAGGACTCTGAGACAGACCTGAGGCCCAGGATTAGCACCCTGAACAGCTCCTTCATATTTAACTCCTCCTTCCAGGAGAGAGCCAGTAAGAGGCGAACGCTCAGCTTCAAGGGCTGGAAGATGCTCACTCCTTTCCAGAAACCAGCGTCCACCCAGCTGAAGGAGAAGATGAACAGCCTTTCTAACAAAATCCGGGGTGGCTCCAGCAAAGGGGGGGTGACAGCCACCTACAAAACAGAGGTGGAGTCTGTCTCTATTGGGATCCCTCATGATTTCACGGAAACCATCGACTATCAAACCCATGACTTAACAGACTGCTGTGGGCTGAGAGAAACAGATATTTGAACCCTCTGGAACAGCTGTCGATGGTTTCTTTAGAGGTATCCAGCAGAAATGTGGAGGGATACCATCTGTGGGTCTGTCAGGCAGACTGGAAGCAGCAATCAGGTATAAAATGCAGTTGCCCAAAGGTTATCCAAAAATCCCCCACGTGGCGCTCAGCCCCTTCTGTGGGATTATGGGTTCCTCAAATAAGAGCCAATGGCATATCCCATTTTAACAAGCCTCAGCAGGAGGGGAAGATGTGGGGTGGATATGGCCTTAGGAGAAGAGCTGTCTCCCTCCAGGGGATGGTTGTCTTTGACTTTGGAAGAAGCTGTGCAATTAAGGGAAACCAGGATGTCTCCTTTGCCTTAAAAACACCACCGTGAAATCTAATGGAAAGATCAAACCCCAAAAGATGCCAACCCTGCCTTAGTACATGTGATCACGTTTCCATCCAGAGGCAGCATCCAGGAAGGACTCTGCCGAGCAGCAGCTGGCAGCTGATCCTTTAGATGATGGGTTGGGAGCTTGTAGGTCTGCAGGGCTGGACAGGACCTCCAGCTGAGCCCTTGGCTCTGGAGGTTGAGCAGACTGGGGTATTTCCAGCAGGGTGGGGGGATCCTGGCTCTCAGCCATCATCTCTGCAGTGACCACAGCTTTGCCCCTTCCACATAACCTGGTTTTAGGCTGGAGGAGGAGCCCAAATGTCTACACAGGGTGTGCAGGTCTCTCTCCTCTAATTCCAGCCTGTGAAGCATTTCCCATTTCACTTTCCAGTGAAACACTTGCAATCCACCTTGCTTTAGTGCTCATCCATCTGTGATACAGAGAGAAACCGGCTCCTTTTGGTGTCAGTCATCCCCAACCTTTTCTGTCCCCTTCTTGCTCTAGTTGTTTCTCTCAAAAAACAACAGGATAAAAATACATCCCGGGGGATTCACTCAGGACGAGAGGAAATGGCCTCAAGGTGTGCCAGGGGAGGTTTAGGTTGGATATTGGGAAAAATTTCTTCGCTGGAAGGGTGGTCAGGTATTGGAACAGGGAAGTGGTGGAGTCACCACCCCTGGAAGTGTCCAAAGATGTGTGGATGTGGCACCTGGTGACACGTGCCATGTAGTGAACACGGTTAGTGGTTGGACTCGATGATCCAAGAGGTCTTCTCCAACCATAATGATTCTGTGATGCAGGTCCTCAACTGTCCTGCTCTGTGGCTCAGGAAAGGTGGGATGGCTGAGTTTGGAAGTTTGCAATTCTACTGCCCCTTGGGTCAAAGCTAAAATGGAGCTGATGCAAGGACGGATCTTCTCCCCAGTCAGGGTCATGCTCCTGACCCTTCTCCCGAGGGACTCCCCAAAAACCTGATACATCAAACCTTTGGTTTTCCCTTGGGTGTGTCCGCTAACATGGTCAAAAGCAATGACAGTAAGGGTTGGTTTTCCCTGCTCACAGCCCCAGAGTGTGAGCACCCCTCAGGAGGGCACCACAGTCTCCTCTGGAAAACTCAGGGAGTTGGGGCCATGACAGGCCCACCTCTGCCAGGCAGCTCAGAAAGGGGTCACCCAAACTCTGCTTGGCCGTGTGTTGCAGGCACTGGTTTCAAAATTCAGGCTGGTTTTATCAAACTTCAGATAATGATGATCAGGTTAAGGCGTGAGCAGGAGACACGTAGGTGATGGAGGTGAAGTCTGGGTCTGAGCTGCAGCAGCTCAAGTCAAGGTGACTAAAGAACAGGAACATGAAGTCAAAGGGTGGAAACACAGCAATGAATGTGTTCCTGGGTGGAAGCTCATCCACATCAGCAATGTCCCCCAAACCCATGAGGAGTCTTTCATGAATGTGCCTACAGCACATGCAGCTAATCAAGGGTGGCTGTCAAAGGAAGATGAAAGGCTCCTCTCTCCATTAGAGAGAATGTCACCTTTCTTTCTGCTGTTCATTTGCTTCAAAGTAAAACAAGAGAGAGAGAAAGTTGGACTTTTTTTATTCTTAGTCTTTTGAGCAGTGCATATTGAGACAAGGTATCTGGAGTTGGCCCCATCTCAACAACCCTTAGCACCCTTTACTTGATGCAGGACTCCAAACTGGACCAATTATTGCACAAATACCAGGAGATTTTGTCCAAATATTCTCCTCTCAGCAGCAAATCCCACCAGGGCACATGGGCAGCATTGCATTTACACTGAACCCAGACTCATCATGTTCTCCAGCATCTGCAAAACCACCCAGAGGTTCCAGCTGGGGAGGTTCAACTCTACAAAAACCCAACACGTCATGGGAACTTTTGTGGGGAAATACATCTTTTTTTTCCCTATATCTTTGGCTTTTCAGGGAAGTGAGACCTCACAGTGATGATGGTGTGACATGAAAAGTCATTTTGCAGTGTAAGGACTGCAGGTGCTGCTGGTTTCCAGGGAGCTTTGGGGATCCTGATGGGAGGCACTGGAGATGTAGCAGAGAAGGGACCAGGGAAGGGGCAGTCCATGAGTGCATCCATGACCAGATGACATGTACACACTTTACTGTATTTATATACATGGGTCATCTCCAAAATACGAGGCTTTCTCCTACAAAGGGGCCAACATCCTCCTATAAATGAAGATTCAGCAAATGCTGGCAAGCAGTTCATTCCCATAAATGAGTTGGTGTTATTGCTTACACTTCTCCCTGATTTTTTTACCTACTCCTTTTTTTTTTTCCCCAGTATTGAAACATTTACATTTACAGCCTCCAGCCCCTTGAAAGCATCCGGAAGGGAAAGAAAGATTAGTCTGGAGGTTTGCTGCCTCTCCATCCCAATTTTTTACACACCTGCAAGGGAGAAAACAAGGATAAATATTTAAACGCACATGTACACACACGTAAATGCCCAAACCCTGGCTCAGTTACTTACTGAGTTTGATCTGGCCCCAAGAGATGCCCTAGAAGGTGCTGCAGGGAAGCTTTGAGCTCTGCTCTGCTGCATTCAGGCAAAATACTTGTTTCTCACCTAAGCCAGAACCCCCTCTTTCATTTGGCCTCTTGCAGCAGAAGCAGTGCCAGGACTGGACTCTGGGACTGCTCCTGTAGGGATTTGTTGGGAGCAGACAGGGCTGTCATTGCTGGCAGGGGGAGGAACAACAATGTCATGTAAAATATGACCCAAGTCTGTAAAACTGAGCATTTCTCTTTGAATCCCTTACTTTTCCAAACTCTCCCAGGTTTGGAAACACGGGCTCAGATCTTCAGGACGTAAATTCGGTCTGATCCCACGGATTTCTCTGGACCCACAAGGGTGTGACCAGCTGAGGGAGTGGCCCTGTTTCTCCAAGTTTGCCACACAGGCCGTTCCCCAAAAGCACCTGCACCTTGCTTTTCCAGCAGATCTCACCTCATTGCACTGGCTCCATGTCACTATTGCTTTGTCAGACCTTGCTGCTTCAAGGAACTAGTTGTTGATGAGTTTTGGTGTCACTGGACTCCCCTGAGTCCCCGAGGGAAGGAAGGTCCCTGTCAGCCTGAGCTGGACTGCAGTTGGGTTGCATTACTATTGTTTACAGCGTGTATATAAGTGTACATTTTCTTTAGCAGACATTGGAATTTTTTATGTATAGATTTTTATTTTTCATCCCCAGACGTATTTATTAGCCAGAGTATTTCTGTTTTGTGTTCCGAGTTCTGTCAGATCGGTGTAAGCTCTATGGAACAGAATGCACATATTTTTGTTTGTTTGTACCAAATACATGCACAAACCTGTCTAAAACGTTGCTGTGAATTGTTGCTCTGTCTGATTTTTAAAACAAGGGCTGTAGGGGATGAGGAAGGGAGGGAGGGAGGGAGGAAGAAACACCTGAAAATTATCCACTCGTGGTTATTTCTCAAAGACTTTTTTTTGCAATTTCACAAGGATAATCTATCCCACATGCAAGAATTTGTGATAAAAGCAAGTCAGGAGAGGACAATCTCAGGGATGAAGGGGTTGCACCTGCCACATCTAGAGATTAGGTTTAGATTACATATTAGGAAGAAAATCTTCCCTGTGAGATTGGTGAGACCCTGGCACAGGTTGCCCAGAGAAGATGTGGATTTCCCATCCCTGGAAGTGTTCAAGGCCAGGTTGGACGGGGCTTGGAGTAACCTGGTTTAGTGGAAGGTGTCCCAGGGAGGTCTTTAAAGTTCTTTCCAACCCAAACCATTCGGTGATTCTTACATATATATATATATATATTTTATATATATATATATGTATATATATATGTGTGTATATATATACACACACACATATATACACATATATATAAAAATACATATTTATCTGTAAAATATAAATATATAAATGAATATATATATAAAAATATATATATGAATATATATATATATAAATATATATATATAAAAATATATATGTGACACATATCTGAGACAGGACAGGGAAAGGCAAAAGGAAAAACCAAAAGGAGATACAACATGAAAACACTGGATCAGTACTTGATAACAGTCAGAGGTGGAAAATACATCAGGGAATTTGGGGACAAAGAATGGAAGAGATGGAGAATGACCTTGGAAATACCTTTGCAGCTCTGAATACATCAATGATGTACATGTAATTTGACCACTGTTTCCTTTTAATTAGTCCAGCTCTAGAAAGATAGAAGGGACCTAGAATGGATACAGGATAGTTTCCATCTAAAGGATAATTAAATCAAGGGGCACTTTCCTGGAACACAGAGATGACTGAGGAAGAACACAATGGAGCTCTATAAAACCAGGAGTGCTGGGGACAAGATGAATAGTGGATGACTGTTCTCTGTTTCTCATAAAATGACATCAAACCCAATTATCAAAATGAACAAAATGAGGTACATTTTTGAACGGTGCAGCTCATCACCACGAGATATTGCATCTGCCAGAAGTCTGTAGGGGTTAGAACAGCATCTGGGGGCCTCGGTGACAGGTAAGTCCATCAAGGGCTGTTGGAAACATTTATATAATCTCTGAGCTGAGAAATCCCTGAGGCAGCAATTGCTGTCAGCTGGGAGAATATTTCAAGGGATATTTCACTGTTGGCTTTTTCTTTCCTTCTATTCCTCCCAGTTTCCATCATGAGAGAGGGGATTCAGCTGGAAGGACCCAGGCTCTGTGTGTCCCCTCCATCTGAACTGGGCCCATCCATGCCCCAGTTACATCATTCATTTTCCTGCTCAGAGGCTGAAATGAGAAATTAAACAGAAAATTCAAGATTAGTCTCCAGTGCACATTAAACCATCAAGGTCATATGATTTTGCCATCACTGTGTGCCAGTTCCTGCTGGGGAATTTCTGTTACCACTCAGAATTTGGAAACCATCTCCTCAATAAACTGACTTTTACAATCTTTCCACCGGACAGAGATTGTAGCTGGGGCTGGGATTTGCCTGGAGTTTTCCCAAGAAACTTCAGCCATCCTGTGCAAAGGCTTCCACCTTTTTTTTTTTTTCCACTTTCAGACATCTGAATGTCCCTCCATGGAGACACAACATCGTGGAGAGTGACATTAAGGTCACTGATAATTAAGTTTGCTTTTTCTCAGTCCCGTCTGTGGGATTCAGCTCATGGATTAAAACACCTCCATTCCAATAGGATCTGTGTGTGAGTCATGTTTAAACTTCACTAGAGAAAAAGAAACAATATTTTTTTGCCTGAATATAGGTGTTTCATTGCATTTGAGCCATCCCAGGCTATCCAAGACATCTGCACGTGGAAATAGGACGGAAAACCTGTTGTGCAAAACTGACTCAGGATCACAGCAGAAGAGCCTGACCTGTGAGCTGGGAACAGAAATAAATGTTGGGCAAAGAACAGACAGAATGTGAAGGACTGATCCCTTCTCTTCCCTCAGGAAAAGAGGACACGGGGTATTTGCTGAGGTTGAACTCATCACCAAGAGTCAGATGAACGCTTGACTTGCAGGGTGGATCCCAGCACCCAGTCCCTGTGGCATCCTGGAGATCCTTGGAGTCCTGCCAAGGCGGGGTGGAAAGAACAAATCAGAGATAGAAAACGACACTGAGGTCCCATGAGACCAGGAAAAGAAAAGGTTTATAGCAAGATGTTCAGTTCCATTGCTACCAAACCAAACTTACCCAACATTTCTGCCTGCAGTGCTGGTGGATAACGGGTGCCTTGGGGTTTGAGGGCAGGGTGTGGGCATCAAAAATAGGCTTTATGTGTTTTCTGGCAACATTGTCTTGCATTTATTATGCCCAGATCTCCAATCTAATCTTTTTACAGCACAGCCCCAAGCAGGTCAATTCACACAGTTTGGGGATTGATGGGCTTTCTTCACTTCTCTCCTTTACCTTCCAAAAGACTGAGGCAACGAGGGGCTCTGCCCACGATAGTCCAGCTGACCATGGCTGAAAGTCTCACTGAGACCTCAGAGAGAGCATTTGGATTTTCACCAAAAAAAAAATCCGGGCCCAGTGCAGCTCCTGTGCTGAATATTTACTTTTCTTTCCTTCGCAGCTGCTTCTTTCTGGATGGAGAAAAAAAAAAAAAAATAATTCCCTAAGGGCTGTAGATGATTCATAAATCTCACTGAAATGTGACCATAATTAAGTAGCAGCACCATTGCTCTGAGACACAGCCTGTTCAAATCCCTCTGCTCTCTCCTGGCAGATCTGTGGCTGCCTTAAAGCCTCACAGAATAACTCATGGATCAGAAATTTGAGTTCAGTCGTGGCAGGAGAGTGGTTTTGGGGAAGAGAAGGTCCCAAATCTCCACCCCATCAGTGGCCAGGAGGTTCCAGGTGGCATCATTAGGAGAGCAATACCACTGTCTTTCTCCTTGTCAGTGGGGACTTTCCAGAGTTTGCAGAAGGTGTTTGAAATGCAGAAAACTGACAGGAACACAAGAAGAGACCCCTAAATCCCCAAACCCAGTATTAAACAACTAGAACATGCAAGGCCAAATGAAATTTGCATGGAGTTATGCCAAAAACTCTTTCTCATCTACAAGTTGCCTTGACACAGACTGGAATTTCTCGGCAGGTTCTTGGAAAAAGGGAATGCCCTTGGGTAACCCTGTTTTTCTCACAGCAGCAGGGTAGTTTTATGGGTTTAAAAGGTTTGCTCCCTCGACAGCACAGTTGTTAATCTGTGAGTAAACTGCCATTGTTTTATGCATGTTTATCACCCCAGTGCTCAGCACATGATTCACGGTGCAAATCCAGTATTTGACTCTAATCGCTGTGGCACTTCCATTTCTAACCTGTTTTAGGCTTGCAAGCTTCAATGATGCTTCTCAAAGCTTTAGGGTATGTGAGAGGGGGGCTGACAGAGTATAAATATGTTTTTTTATACGTACATATTCATATATATGTATTAATAGATACATCTACACAATCTGTGTAGGCATACAGACATAAATATGGATGGAATTTATCCTTCTAACTTATCTTTATCACTTTTTGATGCTCTCTTTGCAAAAGCACTCTTCTGTCTGTGGTCACCATCATACCCAGACTGTGTCTCATGTCCTCCTCAGGCTGCCCAAAAGTCCACATGTTGAGTGCAGCTGCTACATCATCATGTGGCTGATGCAGAAATCAATAATGACTTTTCTAATATTCCACTGCTGGAATCAGTTGCCCAGAAAAGCTGTGGATTCTCCCTCACTGGAGTCCAGGCAAATATTTACCTTGGGTAGCACCTTAGACAGGATGGATCCTGCTGCAGGTGGTGGGGCAGTCCTGAGGTTCCTGTGAGCTGCATCATTCCATATTCTGAGCTGCTCCATGTGTTTGCTCTCACCTCTTTTTTAGGGAGTTTATGAAAAAAAGAGGGAGTGACTTTTTAGAGGTAGAAGGCGATGGGGCAAAGGGGAACAGTTTTAAATTAAAAGAGGAGAGATTTAGATTAGATGCTAGGAAGGAATTCTTGGCTGTGAGGGTGGGGAGGCCCTGGCACAGGTTGCCCAGAGAAGCTGTGGCTGCCCCTGGATCCCTGGAAGTGTCCAAGGCCAGGTTGGATGAGAATTGCAGAAACCTGGGCTAGTGGAAGGTGTCCCTGCCCACGGCAAGGAGTTGGAACTGGGAGGTTTTTAAGCTCCCTTCCAACCCAAACCATTCCAGTATTCTATTATTCTTCTCCCCAGCCTACACCTACAGAATTAAAAATTGGGTTTTTTCAATTTTTGTGACTTGGCCATCTATTTCTGCTCGCACTGTAGGTTTTTATCCCACCTCCAGCTTTTCAAACCGAGCAAAGACAAATGGCTGTGCCAACAAACTGCCTGTAAAAAGGAATTAAACACACCCCTGCTGATTAATTTACTATAGACATGATTTAGCTTTTTTGTCCAGTCTCCAGTTTCTCCTGGATAAATGATCATCTTTCCCCTGGCATGGTGCTGTTCCTGAGGGTCACACAGGTTCCAGCTGAACCCCTCTCTCTGCACTGACCTCTTGGGACCTGGGAAGCAGGACTCTGTCATTCCACAGGCAAAGGATTAGTAAATCCACTGGCAGGAAGATGAGGTCAGGGAAACTGAAATTAAATCAAAGTGAGCACAGGGAGTAGTTAACAAACAGAACAATTTTTCTCAAATACTTGAGGGGTTCTTGAAATGCAAAACTTGGGAGAAAGGAGAGAATTATTTTGCAATACATGCTCTGGATGAGAGAAAAGTAGTGGGTTTGATGCAGAAGTTTGCTCTCCTGCTCTGCTTACACAGGAGGTCAGGCTCAATTACCAAAATATGCTGTCTGCCCTTAAAAATAAACTTTTTTCTGTCTGGTTTGGCAAGTCCTGCTGAGCTTTAAGTGTTGGCCAAAGATTGCACCTGTTCTTCTGAAAGGAGAAAATACCCTGTGCTGAGGCATCTGCTGCTGACCTAAAGGAACCTGCATGGAAAGGTAAAGTCTCCTCTCCTCTCCTGTAATTTATTTATTTCCAACTTTATTTTTAGCACCCATTTTCTTTGAATTACATTTTTCTGCCAAGGGCCCCTTGCAGCTATTTTTGCTGCTGCAAAATTGGCCGGACAAGTTATTTCTTTTCTTTTTTTTTTCCCACCCTTTTCATTTAGGTATTTATTTTGGAGGGATTTATTAGCAGAGAAAAGAACCTGACTGACAGCCTGGGAGCTCTCTCTCTCTCTCTCTCCATCCTCTCTGTAAGCCAAGGAATTGGATTTTGACACTCGGGGCATGCAAAGAAGTTGTCACCAATGGGCCTCGGATCACTGGATTTTTCCAATTCCTTTTTCAGCCCACCTCTGCTTTCAGCCTCCAAGTTGCCCTGTGGCAATGACTTCTGCATAATGACTTTTTGCTCTGCATAAATGGTTGTAATTAATTCAGAAATTATAGACCATCATGGCCATCCTCACCATCTCTTTTCTGAGGGAGGAGTCCTATCATAGAACCATGGAATGTTTTGGGTTGGAAGGGACCTTAAAGCCCATCTCCTTCCACCCCCTGCCATGGGCAGGAACACCTTCCACCATCCCAGGTTGCTCCAAGCCCTGTCCAACCTGGCCTTGGACACTTTTCAGGGATGTGTCTCCCAACCTTGACCTTTTCTAGGCCTTTTACATCCTTTTTAAGGGCTTGTGGCCAAAGTTAACCTGACTATTCCAGTTGCAGCTCCACCAGGAATAACATCACGTGCATAACATCATCATGCACATGGAATAATTATATTTATCTTTATCCTCAATTCTTTTCCCAGCAACTCCTACCGTATTTTGGCCTTTCTGACCACAGAGCTGAGGTTCCCATTTCAGCTATTCCCAAAGATCCAGTGGCCTTTCCCTGAATGCTAATTCCCTGCTCCTGAGTGCATGCCCACCTCTGCATAGTTTTTCCCTCATCTGCATTATTTTGCATTCATCAGCATTAAATTCACCACCTGCTAATCCGATATCAAGACATCCCTTGCACAAATATTCACATTTAGCATTAGCTTTGACTGCCCTGAATAATGAAGGATCTTCACCAAACTGTCACCAACCTATTTACACTTTTTCCCAGATCTTTTTTGGATCTATTAAATTTGTCCAGTGTCAGAAATGACTGCTTAATCATATTTTTTTTTTGCTTCTCCTCTGTTTATTCTATCTGTTATTAAGCCAGAAGACCTTTTACCTTATCCCATGACAGCTTAAAGAGATGGGAACCTTTTCAGGATAAACTGCTGAATGTAGAAACAAGGCTATAACCACTATAAAACCTTTGTAAAAGTAGCCAGTGTTGACTGTATGGAAAAGAAAAGTGGAAGAGGGATGGATGATACCACTGGAGAGGAATTTCAAAAGCCACTGAGTGTATGGATACTGTGAACATTATGCCTCATATGCCAACTGCACTGGATCCAATACTTTTTTCCCAGGGAGCAATGGACAGTCAAACAGCAAAAGTCCATGTGACGGGCAACTGCAAAGTAAAAGGGTCATGTGTTTATTTTAAACAAGAAAATGGTGCTTTTGCCAATGCATTCCTAAAAATGCTGTTAGCAACACAGAAAAAAAGAGCTCATGGGTAGACAAGAGACACAGCCCAGACTTTACATGGATTAGTTTATTCATTTTAGTAATTCAAGTAAATAGGAAAAAAAAAATCCATAATTGCATAAAAATATTCCAAAAAATATTCCAAATCCTAGGTGTCTTCAAGAGGTAATACCTGATGGAGGGATAGGGTACCAAAATAACTGAAGAAGGATTTGGAAATGTCTTCAAATGAAATTGGAGTCTCTCAGCAGAGTGCAGAACAAAAGGAGGAAAAGGCTTCCAGCTCTGCAGCTCACTATGAGGGAGGTTGAAAGAGGAGCTGGATGAACCTCTTGCTTTGAGAGTCTCAGATCAAACAGAGCAGGGAGAATATAATCATGAGTTGAAAAGGGAAAAAAAAGAGTAAAAAGGAAAAAAAAGGACTTTAGCATTTGCATAGGCCATAAATAATTAATCAAAGAAAGGGAAAGTTAAAACAGTGTTATGCTTCCCCATCCAGGGGAGATATCTGGGCATCTCCAGAAGATGTCCCCAGGATCTTCAGGTTTGGGAAGGGTTGTCAGTTTGTGGGAAGGGCTGTCAGTTTTTTGGAAGGCCAGGCTGCCCTACAAGGGTGGAAAAAGTGAGTCCAGGGGCCACAGAAGTGGTCAGGAGTTTGGAGGGTGCACACAAAGGAGTTGCCAAGGCAGCTGGGTTCACCCATTCCAGAGAAAACAAGGTTTGAGGTGGGCATCTGGTTGCACTGCTCCAGTGGGATTGTGGAGAAGACAGAGCCAGGCTCCCCTCGAGGCGATGGGCTCAACACCCAACAAGAGAAATTCCCATTTTCCCATATTTCCTGACCAGGAGTCCAGAAGGATGTGCAGCTTCCACCTTGGAGATACCTGAAACTGGATGGAACAAGGCCCTGGGCAACCTTGGGGTTGGCCCAATGTCGAGCAAAGGACTGAGTTAGAGACCTCCAACATTCTTTATTCCTCAAAACCGAGATCCTTTGGAAGACATCACATCTGTGCAAGGCTTCCAGCTCTGCCCTTTAGGAGGTGCTTTTTTTTTTGTGGGCTACCATTTGTGTTGGGTTAAATTCCTCCGAGGCTCCAGTGAGAAATGTTGTCCCTTTTTACGTGACAGGCAGAGTGTAGAGCTTTACATTTTTATTTTTTTTCCTGGAGAGGAACAGCCAGATTAGAGGCTCTGAAGAACCTCAGAAGCAACAGCTCCTACCAGGCCACAGAGCAGCCCCACGTACACCCCTCAAACAGCCACGAGCTGTCCGGGCACATTTTTTAAAGACACTTAATTCAGAAACATTGGCTGCCATTCAGAATACTAAAATGATAATAAAAAAAAAAATTAAAACTGCTCTTCTTCCCTGCTGGTTTTGATTTGTTTGCATCAAGGGGAAAACCACAGTCCCTGCTGTTCCATTTCAGATGTGCTCTGAAGGTCGGCACACCCTGCACCCCGGCAGCGCTCATAAATCAGGAGTGAGCTAAGTTTTCATCATCCAAATTTGTTCTGACTGGTTAGAGACCTTCATCGCTTCTCTCTCATCACCAGAATGGTCAGCAACTAAAAGGGCTCCAAGGTCAAGGGATGTGTTTCCAAGAGAAAGAACTTCTCACCCTGACACCCCAGTACTTACTGTTTGAGTCTCACCAAGGAGAGAGGAGAGGACTCAGGAGCTGGTTGTGACCCGTCTCTCCAGGACACTCCACATGCTTGACAGCAGCTCCCAGAGCTCGTGTCTCCAGCTTCAGGAGATCCTGGGAGTCATTTGGGGGGCACAAACAGCATTTACCCAGATAATGGAGGAAGTTAACCAAAAATCCCAGTGTTGTTTGGATTTTTCCTCGCTCACTCCAAAACAAAATGTGTGTAAATATCGTCAGCTGGGGAAAAAAAACGCTGATGGTTGGAAGTGAAATTTTTCATTAGAAGCAGAAAACAAATGGGGTGTACTCAGAGGAATCTAGACACAGAGATTGAGTCACTTTTATGCTAATATGTCCTCATCAGACCTCCCCAGTGGATACGAAAATACGGTCTTATTTACTGTAATTGAAGTTTATGATAAAAGCACTTTCGTGTTCTCCGTGTACATACACATCTATTCAGAAAAAAAAAACACCTTCTTTTTCTCTCCCTTTTTTTGTTCTCCATAACTTCTCCCTTTTTTTCTCTCTTTGGAAAGTGTGTTTTTCAAGTGAAGCAGCAACACCTGCTCCGAGGTGTAAAAGCAGAGATTGGCTCAGGTAGGTACCACACCTCCACCACCCTTATCCCTGGTCACTGTGGCTGCTGTGGCACCAATTGCCTCTCTGTGCTGAGGTGCACAGCTTCATTTTTCGTGCCCTTCTCCTGCTCTTTATCCTCCTCCTTAATGACTCCGAGCTAAGAAGAAAATTGTTGCAATTACTGGAAGGCTGCTGCTCTGATCTAAATGAGCTGCAGTTCAATAAAGGCCCAAAATGCAGCACTTGGCTGCAAAGCACCTTGATGCGGGGTAGTGAAATCAGCTCCAAAGGAAATAAATATAAATCTGACAGTTGTTCTCATCTCTGGGAGAGTTGCCTGTGAGCATTCCCAAGTTAGAGTCCACTGATCCCGCAGGTGATCTCTCCCAATGTTTTTCCTCTCTTAGTTCTGGCTGGCTCAGATCTCTCTCTAACCAGGAGCATTAATAGCCACACCAGCATCTTTTCTCCTCTCTCTACCTCCTTTTAAAATCTTGATGGTGGTCAGAATATCCTCCATTCACGCAGGGATTGGGAAAACCTTCCCTGCTCCCAAACCCTTCTCCCCAGCATGCAATTTAACTCCCACCTCCACCACAGCAAGGAGACCTGCTCCAGGCCACCATCCCTCCTCCACACACACACTAATGGCCTGGATATCATTATGCTTTGCATGATTTATGCTCTTCTTGCACCACAGCTCAAGAAATCCATCAACACCTGCGCTCTTGCCCTGGCACAGAGGTGGGATGATGCCTGAGGATACGGCAGTGCCAGGAACTGGAAAGCTGTTCCACTGTTGGTCAGAGCAGTCAGGGACCTGCTGAAGGGCTAAAGTGACGTGGACATCACAAAATCCCACCAGACTAAACCAGAGACACCCCAGGGGGTTGAGTTTCCTGCCAGGTACATGAGAGGGAGGTCAATGTTTTGATTGCATCCACATGGAATCATAGAATATCTCAGTTTGGAAGGGATCCATCAGGATCATCGAGTCCAACTCCCTGCCCAAACTCATCAGTGAAGGAAGTCCAATAATCGTACTTGATGGGACAAAATTGAGAGCAGATCCACCAGAAACTGCCTACATCAGGGAAAGAAAAAAACAAACAAACAAACAAAGAAAAAAATCCAGCAAAGTGTATCTTTGCCCCTCCGTGAACAACTCAAAACATGCAGAGAAGCTGCCAAATTTTTCATACGGCTGATGCTACCAGGGGTTTTTGACTTTCTGGAAAAGGGCCAGTGCTTATGATCAAGCATCTAAAAATTGTGTTTGGTCAGAGCAGCAGCACTTGTAAGGCTTTGTGGCCCTGGGAAGGAAACAGCCTGCACCAGGCAGACCTGGGGGCTCCAGAGGAGCTGCCCCCATCCGTGTCCATCTGGAATTTTTACGTGACAGGCACAGGGGGGAAGGGGTGTGAGATAAAAAACCACACCACTTCTTGACAGTGGGAACAGGACCTGCCACTCCACAACCCCGGAGCTGCCGTGTTACTGCAAGTACTTATAATGAGAGCTTATAAAAAAATAGAGAGACTTTTTAACCAGGTGGAGTGTCAAAGGACAAGGGGCAGAGTTTCAAACTAAAAGAGGAGAATTTTAGAGTAGATGTTAGGAAGAAATTTTTCCCTGTGAGGGTGGAGAGGCCCTGGCACAGGTTGCCCAGAGAAGCTGTGGCTGCCCCTGGATCCCTGGAATTGTCCAATGCCAGGTTGGATGGGGCTTGGAGCAACCTGGGATAGTGGAAGGTGTCCCTGCCCATGGCAGGGGGGTGGAACAAGGTGGTCTTTAAGGTCCCTTTCAAACCATTTTTTGACTCTATGATTCTATGGTTTACTGGTAGATTTGGCAGTGCTGGGTTAATGGCTGGACTTGACAATCTTAGAGGGCTTTTCCAGCCTAAATGATTCTATTTTGATGGTATAGCACGAAGGAAACACAGACTCACCCCTGTGCCTGTCGGCCTCCTCTGGAAGGAGAGCTGACCTGATAACCTAATCCCAGGGTTTGTCTTCCTTTTAATCTGCAAGACAACAAGTCTCAGCACACCTGTGGTCTGCTGCATCCTGTGACATCAAACAGCCTGTATTACCTCATGTGCTTTTCCAAAATAGCCCCCTTATTTGTGTTGTAAACAATGCAGGTATTTTTTAGTCTCTCCCAGTGACTCAGTTGCCTCGAGCCCCGGGTCCCAGTCACGACAATCTGAGTGACTTTGCTGTCACTTTTTTGAGGACAGCACACTGATTTTTCTGTGAAGGTGCTACCAGCATTAGTCAGCTCCCCAGTATTTGTAAACCACAGTGGTTTGTTTGCTTTCGTGACTGCAATTACAGAGTGAGAAGAGGTTTGTATTGATCTGCCTGTCCTGATGCAGAGGTGTCACTCTCCACCAGGCACAGGTTATCTGGGAACCCTGTCCAGCTCAGGATTTGCTTGGTTTTCCCTCTTCTGTGTTAGTTTGCATTTTATCAGTGCTTAATGTTCTCTGCTGTGGCGGTGCTAATTCCCTGGGCTTTTTTTAGGTGTCTCTGAAGTTCCTCCCTTGCTTTTGACTACCTAAATTAGTCCTGTGCCATCAGCTGCCTCACTGGCCTCTGTTTCCAAGCCGTGTATCAGCCCATTAACCAGCACAGCACGCCTGGGGCTCATCCCTGCACCGTGACCTTCTGCCACAACTGACCATTTAATTTTCCATTTGCTTTCTTCCAGCACAGCTGTGGAGCCATGACAAGAGTTTCCTGCTCACCCTGAGACCCCTTATCTCCCTCAGGAGGCTCTTTAGACCTCGTTAAAGACCTCCTGGGCATCCAAATGCACCGTGTCCACCAAGTCTCCCTCATCCCCCCTTTTCCTGATGCAGCCATTGAGTTGCAATCCCTCTGTGAGACCTTTCTCCTCCACAGGCTGCTGGGTCCATGTGCTCCTGTCCTGAGCTATCTCCCTGAAACTTCATTATCCTGGTTTTAAATACAATATCAAACTGATTTCCCCAGGACACGTGTAAGGAGGGATGACCTGTAATTCTCCCAACCTCACCTTAAGGCTTTCTGAACATAAATGGAATCTTCACTAAATCCCAGTCCTTGCTTCTTTTCCTTAGTAAGTCAACCAAGACCCACCTAAATTTCTTAGAAATGCTTGCCCAGACAATTTGAACCCCCAATAGAGAGCTGGGGTTATTCAACCTGGAGAAGAGAAGGCTCTGGGGAGAACTTAGAGCCCCAAAGGGGCTCCAAAAGAGTTGTACAGGGACTTTGGACGAGGGCCTGGAGTGACAGGACAAGGGGAAACGGCTTCTCACTGCCAGAGGGCAGGAATAGATGGGATATTGGGAGGGAATTCTTCCCTGTGAGGGTGGTGAGGCCCTGGAACAGGTTGCCCAGGGAAGCTGTGGCTGCCCCATCCCTGGAAGTGTCCAAGGCCAGGCTGGACAGGGACAGTGGAAGGTGTCCCTGCCCATGGTAGGGGGTGGAATGTGATGGTATTTAAGGTCCCTTCCAACCCAAACCATTCCATGACTCTACGAAAATCGCTCACTTAAATGTGGTGCAAAAACATCTGCCCAACAAAAAACTGTGTTTCTTCTTGATGTTGTTTCCATCCAGCAACTCACATGCTCGTCATTGTCCTCAGAGCACTTGCCTGGAGACCTCTCTTCCCAAATCATGACATTCCTCTACATTATCTCGTTATTCCTCTCTCTTTCTCCTTACCCACAGAGGAACTCCTCCTGTCTGTGTTCCCTGGAAGGACTGGTCAGTGGATTGGCACATCCATCCCAACCCAAATCCTCCAGGAAAAGGGAATCTACCCCCTCCCAGGGTGAATTGTGGTGGATCCCTTTCGGTTGAGAAGGACATGTCTCAGCTGCCCTCAGAGCAGGGGTGAGTGGCACTGAGCCTTGCTTGGTTCAGCAAAGCTCCTTCTCTCCCACTCTTGCATTTCCCAGTGGAAATATTTGTCCTGGAGCAGCGGGTGTGGCTGCAGTGACGCTACTGCATAGCAAGGACATGACACTGTGCACAGGCTGAGGGGAATGGGAAGGAGGGTGGAGAGTGCAGGGCTAGAGAAAGCTGTGGGAAGGGATCCTGCTGGAGAACAAGTTCAGAACTCATCTGGGAATTCAAGGTCTTGCAGACACTTTACAAAGTCCACTGCATTGGCAGCTCCTGCTTATATAGAATATATATATATTCTATTTTATAGTAAAATTATATTATATTTAAATATTATATTAAATTCTATTTGTAGTCCCCCTAGTGTGTATTTATATGTTTACATATATTTAGATCAAAATATGTTTCTATATAAATATACAAAGAAGAATATATGAGTTTACATATCTATATGCACATATAGATATATAGATATATTTACCAAGTGTTTTCAGTTCAAGCAAATAAAACCGTGAGCCAGCTGCAATAACAACTGAGTCCAGGTAATTTGAGGGGTATTTTATCCCAAATTCACCCTTTTCCACCCACCTCTGACCTTTTGTTATCTACTCTGGCTCTCTCCCTACCCCGTTATCTGGAAGTAGGGGTGTCTTAGCACTTCTTTTCATGAAGTATTTCAAGTACAGCTTTTACACCTAAAAATGTGGCCCAAAGAGGTGAGACAGAAGTGGGTTTGACCAGAAGGGCCATCCCTTGCTAAGCCACACACAGAACACCGACTCCATCATCTCCAGATGGGATTCAGGAAGCAGAGGGAGTCAGCCCAAAATTAATCCTCACCTGAAAAAGTTTTAGGGGAAAAAGCTGTCATTGCTCTGTCCTAATTGTGCTGAAAGCCTGGCCCAGTTAGTGCCAACTGTGCCAGCAGGCAGCTTGACATTCCTATTCTCCAGGGACAGGAAAGTTTTTATGTCATTTAAAAGTGATGTCAGAACAGTTTCCTTGGGCTCAGCATCATGAAAGAAGGACATGGAGAATCCCTCAATCCTTCCCAGCCATCCTGCCAGAACTCCATGGGAATTAAACTGGTAATTTTTGAAAGGGGAGCAGAAATTAAAGGATCAAACCTCTTGGGTTGTCTTCAAGCCTGGGAACAGAAGGAAGGTATTGGGGTCTGACAGAGACCCCATTGTGTGAGGGAGGAGCAGGTGGGTGCCACCAGCCCCAAGCACAGGGACTAATATTCATGAAGGTGGGGTGGCCACCTCAGGCTTACTCAAAACAGGAGTCTGGGCCTATCCTTGTCCTAAAATGTCCAGTCTGGGCTCTGGATCTGCTTGCAGAGAGATCCAAAGGTCCGTGGACCATCTTGGGGCACATCAAGAAATCCCCTGCCAAGCCTGCGGTGTCCAGGGACACGAGCAAGGTGTCACAAGGTGAGGGACTCAACCATCAGACATCCCATTGTGAGAGATGGAGGGTCATAGAGGCTCAGGTAAACAAGGAGGGGACAAGTATGGTCCAGGTGACAGAGGCTGGCAGAGTGGGAAAGGAGCCTGGAGAAGAGGACGCTGAGGGGAGACCTCGTTGCAGCTTCCTCACAAGGGGCAGAGGAGGAGCAGGTCCAGTCTCTGCTCTCTGTGACTGGTGACAGGACCCAGGGAACAGCTGGAGCTGTGCTGGGGGAGATTTAGGTTGGATCTCAGGAAAAGGTTCTTCCCCCAGAGGGTCGTTGGGCACTGAAAAGGCTCCCCAGGGCAGTGGGCACAGCCCCAAGGCTGCCAGAGCTCCAGGAGGGTTTGGACAACGCTCTCAGGGACAGGGTGGGATTGTTGGGGTGTCCTGTGCAGGGCCAGGTAAAAATTCAACCCATTCTTCTGGGAAGCAGCAGCATGACAAGCAAAGACCTGTGCCTGTATTTATGGGCACAAGCACATCCAGGTGTTGTCAAGATGGTTTGAAAAAAGGTGAGGAAAAAAGCATCCATTTGGACTTTGAAGTATTCTTACCTGTAAGCAGGTACATTTAGGGTTTCCAGTCGTGTTGTAAATGAAGGCGGGCAGTGCAGGGAAGGAGAGTTTTGTTCTGATGTCCCTGTGCTGAAGTTTCCTGGAGATTTACAGCCCTCAGCTGGTGACTCGGCACAGCCCTGCTGCAGACACTGGCACATCCACGCTCCCATCTCAGGATGGGTGTGTGCCCCCTCTCCTGGCTAATCTGTCATCTGCATCCACCCACGCCACCCCTGTCAGCCACAAATCCTCCCCTGGGCATCCCAAAACTCCTCCTGGTTCCTGGCATCCCACTAGCTCAGCCCTCACCTGCTGCCCAGCCAAACGTGACATATTTAGCTCTGCTATTTTTATTTTTATTTTTTCTTAATCTCTCCCCTTATAAATCAACTTCTCCATCCCTTGAATCCCTGCCTGTGCCGCTGCTTTTCCACTTGGCAATGCCCAGTTGCCAAATGCCTGACAAATTGCTCTCTGGCAGCCACCCTGCCCGGGGCCACACTGCCCGTGAGAAAAGTGAAGCTGTTCCTCCTCCTCCCAACATAATTCCTCGTTTTACTGCTGCTCTCCCACTCGTGCCCCTCATCTTACAGACACTCACAGCAAACCTCCTGCCGTGAAGACACTGGGCCAGCCAGGGTTAGGAAATCTCTCCCCATTCTTTACAAAGGATTTTTGGATTCTGTTTTGCGTTGGATCAAGCTGATGTTGCTGGGATCAGAGTCCTGGGCTTGGAGCAGCTCCACACCAGTGGCTCATCCCTTGTGGTTTGTCCCCCTCATGAGATGTCACCAGTATCTGTCCGTGAGAAGGGAGGCTGGTCCACACGGACACGTGTGACCAACTATCCTTGCAGACCAGCTAGAGACTGTAGTAGGGAAGAGCAGGGGACCAGAGAGAGAGGTCCTGGAAGGTGCTGAGCTCCCACATGTGGCTGGCCCATCTCTGGAAGTGTTCAAGGCCAGGTTGGACGGGGCTTGGAGCAACCTGGGCTAGTGGAAAGTATCCCTGCCCATGGCAGGGGGTTGAAACTGGACGAGTTTTAAGGTCCCTTCCAACCCAAAACACTCCATGATTCTACATCCCTGCAACTCATGGAAATCCTCCATATCCATCACATCACTCTTGGACCCACACACGGGACCTGATTAATCACTGTTATTTCTCCAAAGGGACACCCAAATCCCGTGGGGGATGGGAGGCTCCTCAGCCAAACCCACTCCCTGGACACCAAGCAGCGGGCACTCGGTCTCTAAGGGAACCTCACACACATAGGCTCTGATAGATGGGAGATCATCCAGCTTCTTCCCTCCGCCTCCCACAGCTCCTTCCAGCCCCTCAGACATCCCAGGGCATCCCAGGAACGGAAACACAACTCACTGACGAACAACCTACTCCCTGGACCGTGTCTGTGTCACCCCTCTGGGCTCCCACTGTTCTCACTTCACTCACATGCACGTGTGTGAGTTTGCACGTATTTCTTACGGCGTCCAATTTTTAACAGTTCTAGGGAGCATTTTTAATGCCACGAGGTGGCAGCACAAAATCACCTTTCACCACTGCGTGTTCGGGTTGCAGAAGGTCCCCCAGAGCCCGTGGCAGGGAGCAGTCAGTGGTCTCCCCCCAGGGACGGTCCCAGCAGGAGAAAATATCCAACCCCATCAAGCGCAGAGCCGGGACCCTCGCTGTTCATCACTGAACCCCCTGTAATTTCAGCATCCACTCGTTGCAGGCACTTTTATTTCCCTGAGCTTGTCCATCTTTCAGGCACTCGTGTGATAACCCCGAGGTGACTCTGAGCCTGGTTTGGACACCTCTGTGCTTCACCCCACAGCAGCGAGGAGTTGGAGGAGCTGGTCTGATGTGATGAGAGGTGCAGACAAGGCAAAGCCAGACCACAGGCACTGAGAGAAAATACAAGAGAGCTGGAGAGGGACTTTGGACAAGGGCCTGGAGTGACAGGACAAGGGGAAATGGCTTCCCACTGACAGAGGGAAGGGATAGATGGGATACTTGGAAGGAATTCTTGGCTGTGAGGGTGGGGAGGCCCTGGCACAGGTTGCCCAGAGAAGCTGTGGCTGCCCCATCCCTGGAAGTGTCCAAGGCGTTGGACAGGGCTTGGAGCAACCTGGGGTAGTGGAAGGTGTCCCTGCTCATGGTAGGGGATTGGAACAAGGTGGTCTTGAAGGTCCCTTCCAACCCAAACCATTCTAGGATTCTGTGATGACCATTAATGACCTGAACTTCAGGCAGATCAGTCCTGAACATACCCAACAGAACACTGCAACTCTTATCCCACTGGGGCTTTTTCCTTCTTTTTTCCAGCTCTGCATCTCCACACAGGGAAAAAAAACCCACAAGAAGGGATGTTTGGGCTAAGAAAGAGGAGATGAAGGCTGCAGGGAGCCCTCAGCAGCAGCAAAATCATAGGAATATGCACAAGTCAGGGTAATGATATGTCTGGCTCAGAGGCACATCACAATCTGCTGCCATTCCTGCCATGTCTCAGAATGTCCCAGGGGGTCCAGTCTCCTTTTCTGCTTTGGGTATGTGTTTCCTACTGGCAAACAAATCAGCATCAGGGAAATTTCCTGGGCACCAAGCTCCATCCTGTAAACTGCTGTATAATCAGCACCCCCTGGTACAGCCTGGCTTGTGCCCATTTGCACAGTTTGGAGCCCAGCATTGGTCCTGGACAGCTCCTGCAGGGCAAGGAGGGAGGGATTAACACTGCAAACATCCACAGAAAATCATGCTGGGAGCCTTAAACACGCTGGTGAACATGAATCTGGATGGTCCCCACTGTGTGGGCAGCACAGACAAGTACAGGCCACTCAGTGCCACCAGCTCGGGCTTAACTGTTTGATGGGATGAGCTCAGAGCTCTTTTCCAGCCTTAATTCTGTGATTCTGTTGACTAACCACAGTGGGTTAGTTAGAGACTAAAGGGTCTCTGCTCACCCCAGGTAGGTAATGATTTGTGCCAGGAGGGATAAGGCAGAAGCCAGGACCCACCCCACAGTTCCACCGCCCTCCTCGTGCAAGAGAAGCTTTGAGTTCTCACTTCAGCTTTTCAAACAACCTTCTTACAAAGCATTTCTTGCTGCTGAGTTCAAAGGTCACAGAATCACAGAATTTAGGTTGGAAAACTCTGAGATCATCCAGTCCAACCGTCCCCCCAGCACTGCCAACCCATGTCCCCAAGTGCCACATCCACACAACTTTTAAATCCCTCCAGGGAAGGCGATTCTACCACTACCCTGGGCAGCTGTGCCAGGGCTGGACAGCCCTTTCCATGAGGAAATTTTTTCCTAATAGTTTTCCTAATAAAATTTTCCTGACCATTTTTCCTGCATCTCCCAGGAAAGGGGCGGCCAGGGACAGATGTGCCCATTCCCCTGTGGCACCATCATGCATGAGGCTTCAAATACCCAGGTACTGCCTTCCCCACCCAGCCAGGGGAGCTCTCTCTAATTAATTCTGAGCAATTAGATGCCTCTTACCTTTCCAGCACCCACAACTGCTTTCCACCCACCTTCATCCTACTGCTGAGCTCTTGGTGGACATGGCTGGAGTGAGTCTTGGAGAAGAGGGAGCAGCTGGGGGGGGGTCACAGAGCCCCGTGGTGACACCACCTCCCCTTGTCACATGCTCAGGGTGGCCTTTGCTGCTAATTTTAAGCACCTCTTAGTAAACGATTGCTAAATTTAGTGTCTTTGGAACATAAGCCTTGTATTAAAGGCTGGGTTGCTGGTGGCTGATGGAAGCGGAGGAGTGAAGGGGCGAAGCAGGATTGCCCTGACACAGATCCCTGCTTGGCAAAACCAGACACCGTCATCACACCGTCTGCACAGAGCAGAGAAGGGAGCTTTGAAACCCTGATCACCAGCACAGCTGCTTGTCTTGGATGTCCCATGATTAAGAAGCCACAGGAATCACAGAATTACAGAATCGTTTAGGTTGGAAAAGGCCTCCAAGAACATCGAGTCCAACCTGTGACCGACACCCACCTTGTCACCCAGCCCAGAGCACCAAGTGCCACGTCCAGGCTTCCCTTAAACACCTCCAGGGACAGTGATTCCACCACCTCCCTGGGCAGTCCCTTCCAGTGCCTGACCAACCCTTTCAGTGAAGAAATTCTCCCTGAATTTCTTCACTGAAGAGAGAAAGCATCTCCTTGTTTTTTCCTGGGTCGCAGCCTCATATGCTCAAAGGATTTGGTTTTCTCCTCTGATTCCACTTTGCAGCAGATCTGGCTGCTGGGAAATCAGCTCTGGCTCCTTGAAGTTGAGCTCTGAGTGACTGAAGCAGGACAGATTTTTTCTCTTTTGTTCTCTTCAAGCGTGCTGTGCTCTCCTCCCACAGCCCAACTCTCTTCCAACTCACCCTCATCACGAAAAGGGGGATTGCTTCTGAGATAAAACGGGAGAAAAACATCATAAATTCAACATACCACCGTCCTTTCCAGCTTTCCAGCAGCCAAGAAGGCATCCCACCTCCACACTACAGCAGGGAATCAGCACAGCTCAGCTGAGGTTGGAGTCAGTCAAAGTTGGTGCCTCCTCTGCAGACATCTATCTTGGGATGCACTGACTCATCCACTGGAGAGGGATTTTTCCCTCTCTCTCTGCCCCTTTTCCTCCCCTCTGTAACTCGTTTATCAACATGACTCCCACCCCACACACACACACACAGAGTGTACACACGCTTCACGTGGGGCAGCAGATGCCAAACCAGGCACATCCCTCACTCCTCACACGGCGCCCTGGCCGGCAGCCAGACAGATGGAGAGACGGAATGCGGGGAGATAAGGCAGCAGCTGCACGCCCCAGCCTTCATCCTGAAAACTGGTTTTTTTTTTATTTTTGGAAACCGTTTAGACATTTGTAAACTGTGCTGATGGCTGCACTTTGTGCGTTGGACTTTAAAGAAGAGCAGGATTTCTCTCCCTAAGGAATTAAAAAAAAAAGAAAAAAGGCTTTTCTCATTCCAAATGGCAACTTTCATGAGGTTCAAACAACATCAAGTCCCACTCTGGTCCTGTGCAGGACAACCCCAAGAATCCCTCCAGGTGTCTTGAGAGTGTTGTCCAAACCCTCCTTCAGCTCTGGCAGGGTTGGGGCTGTGACCACATGACCACAGTCCTGTCAGCTCTGCCCTAACTGGACCTCTTTGGTCTGGATTGCATTGCTGGAACAGGAAAACCCCAGTTCTGAGAGATTCTTCCCCACAAACACCATTTATGTGATGTCTTTCTAACCTGTTTTCAGCCTAAGGAAGTTTTGATCCTGGATGCCTTCCCAAAGG